TTAACTGTACATATATACATACATATGTATATTGTAAGTTCCCTTTTTTTCAACTTTTCTGAAAGCGCCAGCTGCTAGAATTTATATTCAAATATATATTACGTATGTTTATAGCTATATATATACATATATAACATACACTATACACTACATATATGTAATTCATAAATACGAATAAAATTTTTTCAATAATTTTATCAAAATTTTTCAATAATAAAAACGTATATCACTTTTAAACAGCTGCTTGCTTAAATAAAATACCGTTATAGCTATGTGTACCATTCCTTTATAATATACGAGAACCAAAATTATTATATTTCTTGAATTATATAAATATCGCTTATTTAAGCTTTTTTTTTCTTTTTTGAAATTTTTTTCATCTTTAATACAAACGAGACTACTTGTCTCTATTTATTAAAAACTTCAAAGATAGATGAATATCAACGCATTAACTGCTCAACAATCTGTGTAATAGGTGTTGATACACACAAATATAAACATGTACATAATATATATAGTATAACACATACACATAAAATAACACTTTTATGTGTGTATATAATATATTAAAATATATTTTATATATAATAAATAATATTATAATTTGCCTATATATTGAAGAAACATTATATACGAATAGTTTAATAAACTCCAATATTATATTATATAAAATAAATAAATATATAAATAAAAACATTCACTCTCATGTGAATATATATATATGTATATAACATTATGTATGGGAATATATACAATATTACATGGATGCTATTTATGTTGTTTCTTTGTCCTGTGTGAAGCATGTGTGAAACAAAATCTTCAAAGCATCTATTTATATATTTTGACATTTATGTACACATATTTATGTATATATATATATATATATATCTACATAAATGTCAAAGAGAAAAAGGATACTTATAAATGTATATGAGTTTGTTTAACACATTCATCTACAATTTGTAATATACAAGACGTAATCGAAAATAAAAAACATACACCTATTCCCACCAAAAACTTTTTCAATATTTTGACAATTTAATGTTAAAATTGTTGTGAAATATTTAGTCATTAATGCAAAGCAGAACTTCATTTTTCACCACAATTGCTTTAATATTCTGCTAAGCTTTAGAAAATTTAAATTGCGATGAAACTATATTGATTGGAAGAAAAAAAGAAGCGTTTACATAATGACCGAATTCGACGTTTAATTTAGTGAGTTAAGAAAAAAAATTATACTTTTTGATGGCATGAAATTTACTTTTGCCTTGTCGTTTTTATAGGAAAAACTTATGGTTTCAGAAATATAAGGCGGCCAAAACCCAAATGTTACAAATTTCGTAAACTGCTAAAAGTTGCCGTATAGAAGTGGAACGACATCAAAAATTTAAAAAAAAACGTGCCTATAGGGTAACGGTTGGTTTCAACCGACATTTTTTGCAGAATGATAAATGTTTGTCGTTGCGTTACTCGTTATGGCATTCTTAGAGCTTTGAAGATCTGTAACATTTAGAGAGGGAACAAGAGATAGATAAAAATTTTCTACCAAAATAAGTTTTTACTAATTATTTATTTGTGTCTAAAATTTAAACTTTTTATCCCAAAAAGTGTAGAAACTTTGTAAGGAGACACAAGGGCAATCGGACTAACAAATGAAACTAATACCTATACCAACATAAAAATAAAATAGTTACCCTTTTTTTTAAATTAAAAAAAAGAAAAATTTATGCCAAATTGAATAGATTTTACATAAAAACATTGAGCAAGATTTCATCATTTTTGTAATATTCATTCTTTTTTACAAGTATCATCATCTTCATGATGATGATCATCATCATCTTCACCATTATTATACTATTATTATTATTATTATAACAAGTATCGTACTTAAGCCCTTACACTATTTTTCATATATGAAAGAAAGCAACATAAATTATGAGGTCACATATGTATATACTCGTATAATATGTAGTTGCCAATTGAGATGAGAATCTGAACTTGAAATAAAAATAATTTTTTTTGTTTCTTTTTTCTTGTAACTAGTTCGAAATTTTTGTTTCTCTTTATTTAATATTCAACCCTATAATTTATTAAAATTTTAATAATTCTATACAAATTTACGCTCTTTTCAAGCTTAAAAAATATGCAAAACTCGCAGGAAGTATTTTAATTTTTTTTTAAGTTATTCATCCTTTTTTTTTGGTATTTTGTGAAAAACAATGTAATAAACTTAAATATCTAATCTAAATTCGAATAGGAAATAACGAGTTCTTCATAAGTGTTCTTATATATATGTATATAAATGTATATATATATAAAAATAAAGGAAAAGATTCCCTTTGATATTTTTATTATAAAATACAAAGTACTCATTTCATTATATTTAATATTGCCATTGTTCTAGAATTTTTCAATTTTTTTTTCATAAATTTTATATTAATACATGACATACTTGTAATATAGATTAAATTTTTAAAAATAATTTTATAAAATTTATGTAAAGACTTTAACTATATGTTTATTATTAAATTTTGAACTAAAAGCGATTCGATCTAACACATTTAATGCCATTTTATCATATCACATCAGTGAACGTCTACAACAAACTCGAACAGTGTTTTCCACTATGGTGAACATTTTGAAACAATAAATTTTTTTAATTTTAAAACTCTAACTAGGCTAGATTGACGCGATCATCAAAGGATAAATATAGACCAGGTAGGCCTGTTGTGATTCTGCTGAATCTCCATTATCCTTAACGTCTATTGAACCAGCCCGAATCCTTTTTAAACCAGTTTAAATTTTGGACATTTACATATACCAGCTCCAAAACTTTCAAGAATAAGTGTGACCCAAGAAAGTTCCAAAACCGAATATAAATACAGAAGAAGAAGTATTGTCCTCCTACTCCTCACACCAGCAGCTTTTGCAGAGAACATCAATAGGGCGTTCCATTCTCCTTGTTTGTCTGTCAATCAGATATCCATTTATAACCCCTATCACAGCTCTTCTTTGGGGAAACATCAGATCTGCCGTGCTCCGCAGATTAAGATTATGCCAAAATGTTCTGGTCGTGCTGCTAGAAGCTAGAAGTTCTATTCTAAAAATTTTTTTATAAATTTAGAGATTACCGAGTGAGATCCTTTGAACTCAGTGTAAATTTTTTTTTTCCTTTTTTGTTCACAGGGGAGCAGCTCATAGTGTTAATAATTTTTTTACGATAAAATATGTAATACTCATATAATAAGCTCTTATCAACATTGTGTTTTTTTTTCTCTCTCTGTTTCCTAAATCAGCAACCTTGCATAAAATCATACAATATAATTATTGACGGTTTTTTGTTAAGTATTCAAATATATTATTTTAATTATGATATTATCGATAATCAGTGAAATTCTAAGTAATAAAAATTCAAGATTTTTACATAAATATTTTTCATATAAACAAAAAAATAGCATGGATTTCAATATTTTAAATAAATACTCGATTTATCAAAAGAAGTAGTTGTTTCATTTATTTGACGCTTTAAAAAAATCGTTGAGTCATACAATTCATTTATTCAGCTTAATAGGAAAAATGTATTCATTCTGGTATATCATAAATTTGCTGTTTCGTTTGTAGTATGATAATATAGTAATAAGAGAGGCAGTATCAGGACAATTGAATGTCAAGTGTAAGGCTACTAAAGAAACCAATCGGCAACAATCCGCAACACATATTTCTCTATCACAGACATGAAATTCTTCATGGTCCCTTGCCTATGTTTCTAATAAGTCCTCCTAATTTCCAAATTTCGATTCATGAAAGATTATAATATATTAACATTTATGCATGCTTTCCGAAAACACTCCTTCATCTTAAAATGAATAATGATTTACTATACAAATGTATATTATTTTCTTGTTCAGCATCGAATTCTGAATATTTATCGTTACTTAAATAAAAACAATGAGGGACGTCGCTACCTAGTAGGATATACCCATTGCGGGTTTCGGATTTTACGCAGGTAAGTTCATTTTGGTGGAGCAGTGCATACGGTAGGGTTGCTCTTAGTATACAAGTGCGGGTACTAACAGGACACTGTCAGCAAACCTACGGACTCTTTGAGTCAACAGATTAAAAGTTGCTACAGCGCATATCTATGGGGGATCTCAATAAATTGACAAGACAGGACTAAAGTGAATAAAGGTAAAATTTGCTTATTATAGCTATTATTTTCCAAAAAAAAAAACAAAACAAACGAATAAATTTAAAAATCTTTTAACACAGTGTACAACAACTATATATCACAATATATACAAACACATATATAAAAATCTACACACAGAACTAGTATATTTGAAATATACAAAATGTAGCATAGAGGTAGCATGCAGTTAACATTGTAATTGAATACTACTTTTTATATATATATATATACATATGTATGTACTTTGGTGAATTAATATTTCTATATATATCATATATATATATAGCATTGTATAAGTAAATAAATAAAAGTTTAAAAAAAAATGCTTTTTTATTACCGCCAGAATTTTGTTTTTTTTTCACATTTCTTATATTATATTCACCATTTAGCACATCAATATAACTTTATAAACATAAAAAAAATTGTATAATTAGCATATTATTTATGAACATACATGATATATATGCAAGTGTTTATGTATAAACATTGAAATTACACACGTACGTGTATTATTTTCAAAATTTTTAAAATAATATAGAAATTCAAAATTAACAAAATTTACTTATGTATTTCTTTGGAAAAACCTCAATTTACATTAATTTTCTAAATATATATATATATATAGATTTAATTAGGATTATATTATGGTATTTTAAAATTATCTACATAAGTATATATATGTTCCCCCAGACATATAATATAGACTCACATAAATAATTTATATGTCACATATTATAAGTAATAAACTTAACCTAAAACTAATTGAATTTGTAATAATTGGCGCGTTTAATTGTTTGCATATAATACTTACTTTGTAATATGAGATTTATATAACACTTTGCTTGGAATTTTTATGTTGACTATTCGTTTTTTTTGACTAAATGGTTTTTATTTTTTATTTTGTATTTTATTAAAATTTTATTGTAATAATTTATTATAATATACACGTTCGTATATATACATATGTATAAATTCGTATAACAAAATATTAATGAGAAATATATGGTAAATAAAATTAATTAATTTAAAAGTAATAAATATAATAATGATTTTTAGCACCTTTCATGAATTGAGCACACATTAATAGCATTATGATTTTTAAAGTAATATTGTTATAATTATTTTTCATTTATATAATATTTTTTTAATTTTTTTTTTTGTATAATCGATTTTACATACATAATATATGGAACTCAATTAATTATTTTATTATAAATTAAAATTATTTTTTTACATGTTTTAACATATAGCAAGTTTACATGCTATATTTCAGTATACGCGATATATAATGTAATTTTTTATATATTTACCGTAAACTATTATTATTATTGAAATTTACAGAACCAAATTTTCATATATTATTTTCGAATTATTATTTTATTTTCACAAAAATTCATAATATTATAATATTTAAAATATTGAATTTTAAAAAATTAAAACGATATGCGTGTATATAATTTAAAAATTTCATAATATATATATTTGTAATATAATATATATTGTTGCTTTTATATGCACATTCTTTTAATAAGATTCTTGATATTTTATATAACATGTAATTATATTATTTTGTTTATGATATGATTTTATTCTCTATATACATAAGTATATTTATTTTCCAAAAATATTGTTTTTCATTGCATTTTCTATAGCTATAATTTATATAATATCGTAATATTGTTGAAATGATATGCAATTTTTTATAATTTTGCTTTATCGGGAGTCATATATAAAATATATATGTATGATATATGACTTATATATATATATATATATATATAAATGTACATTTAATTTACATAACGTATATATAATAAGATTGTAAAAAAGGAAATGTTAAATTAAAAATTAGTATTCACGAGAAAATGAAAATAACAAAAGAGAAAAAAAGAAAACAAAGAAAAAAACAAATGGAAAATTAGGACATTGCACTATGTTATCGACTTTATAAAATCAAAAAGGAATTATTTTTATTTTATTTTTTCTCTTTATATATATTGTTTGTATTATATAGTATTATATATTAATATAAACGGAAGAAAATTTTTTTTATATTTAAATTACAATTTTTAATTTTGATTTTCTCAAAATTTTCAACATTATTTTTATATATTTTTTTTTAATAGAAAATTTTAAAACACAATTACAAGAGGAGCGAACAAGCACCTATTACATTTTTCTCTTTCTTATTTTTAAAATTTCTCCAATTCATTTATATTTTATCATTAAAAAATATTAAATGAAAATTTATAATTTTTCATTTTTAAATTAGAAAAAAAAAATAAAATATTAAAATGGTACTGTTAATATTAACTGTGTAATATTTATTATTTTATTACATGTTTATGTATGTATATATAAAAAATTATGTTTTACAGATTTACAATTATTTCAATTTCATCTATACTATTTTATTGTTTTCATCTCTTTTCTTCTCTTAAATTCAATTACACTAGAATACACAATATCTTTTCTATTTTATTATTATTATTATTTTTATTTTTCTTTTCGTAAATATTTACAAATTAAAATACAGAACAACTATATGTCAAATTATATATTTTACAAAAATAAGAGAAATAAAAAATACCCAGTTAAATATTTTTAATATATATTTTCCTTTCCCAACCAAAAAAAAAATATTAAATTAAAATAATTTTTTTTTGTTTATTAAATTATTATTATTTTATTATATTAAAAAAAAATTTTACATATTTTTTTTTTATGTATATATTCCGCGTTTTTTTTTTTTTTATTTCGTTTCTTCCGTATTATCCTTACTCACGATATACATAACAAGCGCATACTGGTGGGTCAAGACAAGACAATCAATTCAATTCAACCCAAAATGAAAATATACTAAATATGAAAAAAAAAAGAAATATCTAACGTGTACATATTATTATACTTACATATACATATATTATAGGCACAATAATAATATGTATGTAAAAAAATTTTTATTATTATACGTATATTATATTATTATATTACAGTTTAAAGTGTATACGAGTATATTACAATTTTATATTATGATATTTTTCTTTTTGTTTTTCTAAAAAGGAATGAATAAAAAAAAGAAATCCAACAACAAAGTACAAAAATATTATATACATATGTAAGTATATACTCGTATATATTTATCTACAAATATTTCCTATTTTAGTGAAGCTCATTTTACAGAAAATCTCTATACACAAAATTTAAAGAATACTGCAATTGTTTTAAATTCTATATATGTATGTATAGGTATATGAAATTATTTAGTACTAAAAGATTTCTATATTAATGTAAGTAGGCATAATATATGCATACATAAATGTTAAAGAATCAATGGTAAAAAAATAATATATTAATGTTATATTATACAAACATGTTTACAGATGTGTATAAGAAATGATTGTGTATATGAATGAAAAAATTTTAAACAATGAATATCATTTTTCATTATATTTGTGTTTGTAAAATAATATTTGACGTACATTGTGATTATGATAAAGAAAAGAATAAGAGTAAATTGTTATACAATATGAAAAATTTTAAAAATTAAAATTTATTTTTTTTTTTTTATATATATATTATTATTTTGTATAAGAGTTTTGTTGTATGGCATTTAATATAAGAGAAATCATCTTTTGTATCCTTTGTGTTTTCAATTCCTTTTTATTTTTTTGTTATTTTTTGTATAGATTTTTCTTTGTTTTCTTCACTTTCTCGTTTTTCATTTTGTTCTTTTATTATTTGCGGTTTTCTTTATAATTTTTTCTCATTTTCTTATATGTACATTAATTTTTATTTCTGCGGCAAAATATTTAAAATATTAAAAGGAAAAATTTTATTATTATTATTTTGTTTTTTATTTTTGTTTTTCTGTTCTCTCTCATTTGTTTTTTGTTTATTTGTATAACAATCAAAAAAAAATACCAGTGATACTAAACATTGATGCTAATATTGATGATTAAGCTCTACAAAAATAAAATTTATTTTTTTTATTTGTATATGCGCAAAAATAAGATTCCATTATAATAAATTTTTTTTTTTTTTAATTTTTCTCATATTTATATCAAAATTTGTGTATATAGGTATTTGATGTATATGCATATGTAAATGTATGTAACTTTATTTAATCAGTTTATAAGAACAAAAATTCTCTAAAAGGATAAAAATGCATTTTCACTCTCTTCTGTGTTTCGTTTTTTTTCTCTCTCTCTTTTCATTTTCTTCTATAAAAGTAATAAAATTTGAATAGGCATAACAAACCATACACAACTACAAATATATGAAGTTTTTGTGATACAAAAAATTTCATTTTACAGTTAGTTAAAAAAGAGAGAAAGAAAGAGAGGAAGTTAAAATTTAAAATTAAAAAAAAATTTTCATTTTGTAAAAACGGTTAAAGAGAAAGCTTAAAAATTGGAAATAAAATAAAGCTTTTCTTTTTTTTTTCATTTTTAGTTGTCATTGAATTTCAGATTTTGAATATTTACCGGTTCCTTATATTTATAGTTTTATAACAGTTTTAAATCTGTTCTAATCTATAAATATAACAGAATATTATCGTTTAAAAAATATTAATTTTTCAGTTACATTTACATTTAACTACACAAATAATTTATATCCATAAATAATATTGGATTATGTATTTAACGATAAATGATTCCAATATCATTTTTTCCTTTCCAATTCTATCCAGAGGCAATTTATTCTAATAAATCTTGCTAAATCTATGGACAAGTTATGAAAACGAATCAAAAGATTACGATAAGTTACAAATTAAAAGATAGCGGTGTAGTAAGCATTATATACAGTGATTCTTATTACTGCCCCAAGCAAACATTGGATTTAAGGAATTTTCTCAAATGTTAAATTAGTTTTTTGTTTTTTTATAATACAAAATTTTCATATAGAGTTTTGAGACAAACTTACTCTTACATAATTTGCATTTAATATTAAATTTTTTTTATTCTGCCAAAACTATATGAATACCATTTCCATTAATTTCCGATTCCTCATACATTCAAGTATCCTATGAAGTTTTCTTGAAAATTGTTTGAATTTTATTGCATTCTAAAATATATACAATTGATTTAAAAAAAAAACATTAAACTGATTCAATAGGCAATGCATGTATGTATGTACAGCGTTTATATTCCAACACACTATATAAACAAAAATAGCATACTTTTTGGGGAAAGAGAAAAAAAGGTATAAATTGGGGAGCTGAGCAAGTACAGCTACAGTTATGTTAACCCTAAATATTACTATTTTTATTGAAATTGTATATTAAAAACACGAGTAAATACAGAAATGTTTGATCAAGTTTTTTAGTTCCTTTTTGAATCAATAAAAAAAAATAAATTATAGATATCGCATTTTTTTATTAATTACTTATCAGCTAAATTTATATTTTTGAATTGTAATTATAAATTAATTTTGAATAGTCCCATTAAGTTTTACTTTTAAAAAATAATTAAATAAAAATTACAAAAGATGATGCTTTAAATAAGTGAGCTTCTCGTTTAAATGCCTTTAATTTAAGAAATATCATTTTAAATACATTTTGGACTTTAACTAATAAATAGCTAAACAAATGTTTTAAGCTGCAGGTTGTTTACCTGCCATTCCTTCTTTGTGCTTTTTAGCTTTTTTAGAAGAAGCTTCCACTTCTATTGGAGCTGGTTTAACAAATGGAATTTCTTCTTTATATTTATCTGGCATATATTTTTGCAATGGCTCTGGAACTTTTATACCAGTTTCAGTTTGATGAGTTTCTAAAATAGCGCATATTACTCTAGTTGTAGCACACATTGTTGCATTTAACATATGCACATAATCGACAGCCGCATTCAGTTTTTTAGTTTGACCATATCTAACTAATAATCGTCTCGCCTGATAATCTAAACAGTTTGAACAAGATACTAATTCTCTAAATGCTCCACTTCCTCCAAACCATGCTTCAAGATCAAGTTTTTTCGAAGCAGCATGGTTAAGAGCACCAGAAACAATATTAACAATACGATATGGTATTCCTAGCGATTGACAAAATTCTTCAGCATTAGCAATCATTTCATCCATCATTTCCCAAGATTGATTATCGTAAGGTGATGTTAAAACAAATTGTTCAACTTTTTCAAATTGATGGACACGAAATATTCCTCTTGTGTCGCGACCATGGGATCCTACTTCTTGACGAAAACAAGTTGACAAACCAGCGTATTTAATGGGAAATAAGGTTTCCGGAAGCCATTCATCACGATGGTATGCAGCAATTGGCTGTTCTGAAGTTGCAATCAAATATTTCTCATCTTCTTCTTCAACTTTCTCGCTGCCCTTTCCAACCACTTTATAAAGTTCTTCGTCAAACTGAGATAATTGAGCTACTTCTTGCATCACTTCTTTTCTCATAAAAAATGGTGTATATAGGGGTGTATAACCTTTATTGAATAAAATGTGCAAAGAGTGTTGGATTAAAGCGTGTTCCAGGAAAACAGCTGGTCCTGTTAAAAAGTATCCTCTACCGCCTGAAACTACAGCACCTTTTTCTCCATTCATTCCGTCGATCATCACTATTAAATCAACATGAGAATATTTTCCCTTTGTAGTACAGTTTCCAAACGTTCGTTCAACTTTATTTTCATCTTCATCATTACTAACTGGTACACTTTCGTGAAGATGATTACCGACTTCGCGCAACGCATAATTACGCTTTTTTTCTGCCTCTTGGAGTAATATTTCATTTTCACTCATAGCTTCATCAATTAAGACACGTAATTTCTACAAAAATGTTTATAAATATTTCTTTAGTTAAAAATATTATATTTTAAAAAAGCAAGTTTAAACATACTTTTATTTGATTGACAGTAAGACTTTTAAGTAAATCTGATGTAATTTCAGTTAACTCCTTCTTAATTTCATCAGGCACAGACTCTGACTCATCACCTAATGGTTCTTTCTTTTTCATTTTTTCACCAATTTCTTTACTGCAAACATTTTTTACCTTATTCAAATTGTCCCCTCGATGCCTCCTCTGTCTCCACTCTGACGCAATAACATACATAAATTATTGAATTTATTCAGTACTTTCATTCAAAAGTTACCTGTGTCTTGCTCAATTACTGTTTCAACTAAACCAACATCTTTAAACCGAAGTTCTTGATTTTTTTTTACTTTTTCAGGGTCAAACCCTTTATCACTTCTAAATAAATCTAAATCCAAAACCATTTTCTTCAAATACCACGATTTCACTAATATAAGAAAATTTAACTAACCAGAGTTAAACAACGTGGCTTCAGAAATCTTCCGATGCGGTCAATAATAACTAGTGTATTGAGAAAAAAAAGTGACGTTTCCATGATTGACATTTCATTCTTCATTTAAATAAAAAATAAACAATAAAATGACAGCAGTATATATCTTCGAGTATCGAATCCATATCTCAGAGCTTTTTTTCGATTATTTACAAAAGTCAACACTAAAATTTTTTTTACTGAATTTTCACGTGGCACCATCTGTTGTGGATAAGTTGACACATCTATTTAACGGAATTTAAAACCACGATAAAATATTTTACTTATTATTCTTAATTTTCAACGTTATAAAATTATTTTAGAAATTGATTTTCGTTGCTCAGCAATCATTATTTATACTGAAATATCAAAGTAGTTTCTGTAAAACTATTTTTTAAACAAAATTCTGTTTGAGAAATTCGCAAGAAATATCAAATTCAAAACTTAAAATTACATGTTAAATATATGAAATATTTTGATAATAATGTCTGAATTATCTCAAAACAGTAATGATGAGATAATCACATCTAAGGAGACAAGATGGGATCGAATACGGAAACGGCACATGAATTCTCTAAACGTAAAAACAGAAACAGTGAAAAAATTTATTGAAATTGATTATATAGGGAAAAAAAACATGAAACTATTAAATGGTGATATTAATCCTAACCACAGCATTAATCCAGCTCTAGTAATGGACTTGAGGCATGAGATGGTATATTGCCAATATTTGCATTTTATTTACAAATAAAAATATTTTACCCACTACTAGGTATAAATATTAGAATAGCATAATAGCTTTTTTTATTGATTTTTATACATTATTATATTTTGGTAAATAGGGTCAATATTATTAATAGCTTGTTACAATATTAATTTTACATGTTAAACAATTTTAGCTTTTTTTCAATTCAAAACGTTTTATTCAACTATTTGTTTTTTATAGATTGAGCGTATTACGAAACCGAAAAAGGAATTGATACCTGAGAAGGAATATGCGTTAGATAAAGTGAAAGCTCATAATCAGGCTGTCGAGGATCATTATATCGATAATGAATTAAATAAATTAAAAACTGAATTGGAAAAATCACGCATTAAAATGTCAAAGAAATTACAAAGGCCAAAATTAACATTAACCTTAAGTAATAAAGGGATTTTTCAAAGTTTAGAAAAATGTACAGATGTGCTAGATGATTTTTATTGTGCGCCTATAGAAGCTCTTCAAGAAGCTAATAAAATATCGAATGATTCGGTTGAAAAATCAAACTCAAGCGATGAAAAATTTGAATCCGAAACCAAGAGCCCAGTCGAAGTTTCAAGTGACCTTAAAAATAATCCAAGCGTTAATGGGTATACCTCACCAGACAATCACGTTTCTTCTCATGACAAAACTCAAATACTTGTACCTGAAATAAATATTAAAGATGATGTTGAAGAAGTACAAGAAAATCGCTGTGTTCGATTTGAAGATAACATAGAAATTCACAATTACTCTCGTGAGCCGTCATTCAACGAAGGTTTAATACGTTTTGAAACTGAATTTCAAAATGGAGAGATTGTAGAAGGATTTGCTCTTGTTGGAAAATCTCTTAGCATAAATTGCTCTGACGGCGAAATAGATTCACGAAATAGTAAATTTATTGAAATAGAAGAGATTAACAATTTTCAGGAAGAAGAAGAAATTGATGAAAATTGTATAGTTGAAAAGATTCAATTTAGAAATGAGGATATAAGAGACGATAAGGATTATGTTTTTACTGTTAATGATGATTTGTTGAGAATAAGAAGAGCTCTACCTGATACAAATGACTTACAAGTAATTGTTCAAATGAATTCTATAGATAATGGAAGTCAAGATATTTCTGAGGAAATCGATAATAAAAGTGATTCAGATTTGTCAAACAGTGAACAAACTAATGCTATTACTAAACTATTTAGGCCAAAATGCCCACCGACTGAAATTTTAATGAGAAAATACTTTTTGAGATGGATACATTTTACTACATTAGAAAAAATAGAGAAACAAAATTTTAGTAACAACGAAGATGACAGAATATTAAAAATCAATGCATTTTTAGATCAGATTCGGCGAGAAAAAAGAAAAATATCAAAAATAAACTCGCAACGCCCTGAATTTGATGCTAATGGACACAGAGTCAGACCGAGTAATGACAATGAAGTAGTAGTAACCAAAAAATATCAAAGAAAGTTAGTTGATTTCAAATATGGTAAGAAATGAAATCTAATATTCATATTTACTTTCAGAATCAAGGTTCAACAAGATATTATTGAATTACAACGGTTAAAATTAGAACGTCAAGAACGCATGATAATGGAACTAAAACTTAATAAATTAGCAGAGGCTGCAAAATTATCGCAACAGGAAATAAAAATGGAATTGAAAAATGTCATTCGTAATGGTGAACAAAAAAATCGTTGCAAAGCAAAATGTCTTCAGTTAGTAGGAAATCTACGGGATGAAGAAGACGAGGAATTTGCAAAATTACAAGGAAGATCTTTAATGGATACTAAATTTTTGGAAAGAATGCAACAGCGTGCGATTGAAAGAAGTATTAAACATGAACAAGCACGACAGCGGCGTTTACAACAGGAAGCTGAAAGAGAAGCAGCAAAAATTGCTGCAGAAGAAGCCAAAGTATCTTTTGAATTTTTATATAACGCCATTACAATGTTTTATATTGCTAACGCATTATAAATGTTTTTGTAGAGATTTGAAGACGAAGAAGCAAAAAAACAACGTATTGAAGCTTTAAAGGAAAAACGACGCCAAGAAAAATTAGCTAGAATTCAAAAGGAACGTGATCGACAACGTTTTCTTGAAATCTCTAAAATTGCTTTAGATTTTGCTCGTAGAAAACTGCTCAGTCGATATGGAATTGAAGTTTTTAAACAAATCGTATCGAAAAAACGAAATAATTACAGAAAGGCGGAAATATTTCGTCGGAAGAACTTAAAAAGAAAAGTTTTTGCAGCTTGGATTAAATTCTTTGTTGAAATATGGGAAAATAGAGAAAAAAAAGCTGATTATATGTATCAGACAATTTTAAGAAGGACCCATTTCGGATCTTGGCAGATATACTTACAAAACGAGCGAAGTAAATATATGGTTGCTATTGATTGGTATGATTTAAAAATAACTGAAAATGTATTTAAAATTTGGCTGGGAGTTACAAAATTAATGAAAATTGTTGAAGAAACGAAAACAAAACAGGCTGAATCCCATTACCAATGGTTAGTAATTGATTTCATACAATAATTGTAACATTTTTCTGTTCTTTTTATAATTAATATGTATTTCAGGAACTTACGTTGGAAAATATTAGATAGGTGGCGAAGGTTGCCACAAATTCTGAAGCTTGAAAAAGAGACTGAACAACGACGACAACGTTGGCGTATGAAAATTTGGGAACTTCTACCAGATTATACACCGAATAGGGACGATGAATAATATTCATAACAGTATTTTATATTAGTTTATACTTTCTATGTTATTAAATATTATTTATTTTATTTATTAAAAAAATTATTATTTTAGTTTCGAAATTTTGTTACTTTTGAAAATTGTTAAAGTACAATAAATTTTGTATAATTCATAAATAAATAAAATTAAATAAGCAATATTAAAATAACATCTAAGTAATTAATATAATTTTTAAAGGAATTCGGAAATAGAAATTTCTATTTTTATATTACCCAAACTGTGATCAAATACCTTACATTTTTATTTACACTATCGAATTGATTTAACAATATATTACTCGTAATCGATCTTTATTAAATTTCAGAAAAATATTTAAATATATATACAAAAATTAAAATACAATTTAAGTTTCAAAATGGGAGCCAAAAAGATATACAAAGAAAAAGACAAGATATACAACTTAAAAAAAAATTTATTGATGTGTTACATTTTTTTTATTTCTTAACTGAAGTGGTATGTATATATATATATATATATGTATATATAAATTTATTTCTGTATTTTTCTTTTTTAAATTAAATATTTAATAATAAAATTACTTGGATTTTTTCTTACTAAATTTTTATTTTAACTAGAGTTTTTATTTTCCTGTGCAATATAAATTTTATAAAATTGAAAAAAAAAAAAAATAAATTAAAATTCCATAAAAAAGTTTCATAAAAAACAATATTTTTGTTTTCGTTCATTTTTATAAAAATTATTAAAAAAAAAACAGTCTAGTGCGAATTATATAAAAATTTTTATCAGTATATTTATGTGTATACATCATAAATCTATATATTTAGTGGAAGGAGGATGTAATCTACATATACTTATAATTTAATTTTATTAAAAAACTTCGATAAAATTTTTTCATTGTTGTTTTAAGGCAATTCAATTGTACTTTTTTTTTTATAATTATGTTTGTAATTAACTGTATTTTACACAGGATTATTCAATAAAAGGTTACAAGAAAGTTAAATTTTTTTTTCAAAATTAATTTTAAAATTGATGCTAACGACGATGATAAATGAAGTAATTTTAAAAAAATTTTAATTTTTCTATGAATTTTATTGAATAAAGGAAGCTTAGTAATCGAATAAAATATTGTAAGAGTCCGAAATTTTGGAATTTTTTTTTTGTAGCAAAAAATTTTTAACATAATTGATTCTCATAATATTTATAAATATTATTATGTCAAGTAAAAAAAATTATTATTGAATTTTAATTTCATATTTAATAACGAAATATTTGAATTTTATTTCAATTTATTAATTTATGATAATATAATTATTGAAAATAGATTCGATGCAAAAATAACTATGATGGTTTAGGCTAAGATGTCAATCCAAGCAAAAAAAAAAAACGCATGCATTAGTTATATAATGTCGAAATGAAATTATAATGAACAAGAATTATGTAGTGTTATTTAATTGTACAAAAATTACTTAACGATTTATTATTTTAAATAACTTTTACATTTTCGTAATAAAAGTTCTATTAATCTATTTTCTGCCAATTTTTGTATTTATATTTTAAAAAAAAAAAACATTTTTAAATGATTCTCTTTCTCTTATTAAAAAAAAATTAAAAACCTTATTTTCTAACAATTGTATAATATGTATTTTTGTATATATAAAACTATTAATATTTCTAAATTTATAACAAAATATGAAATACTTTCGGTCAATGAATTTTTTTTTATTTTACTTTTTGTATAGTTTTTTTTTTACTGCAACAATTTTTAAACAAGGTTTATGATATTACGCAGAAGATGATTTATCAAAAAACTACAACGTAAAATTGTATTTTTTTATTCAATTTAATTTTTTGATCAATTTAATAAGAAAAAACAAAAATATTCAATGTGCATCTATTATAAACCTTGACATAAAAGGAAAAAGGTAAAAACTATGAAACCAAATGCAAATTACTTTCATCAGTTTAGAAAAAAATTTGATAATTATAGAGAGACTTATTAAATAGCTTAACAAAATAATATTGTTTATTAAGTAAAGGGGTGTTGAAAATGTATGCTTGTGTATTTATATTTATGCATATACTTATATTTTGAACAATTATTGTTAACAAATTACTTTTAAAAAATAGTTTTTTTTTTTTTTAATTTTCTTAAATTTAAATATTATAAAATTTCTATTTGTTTTTTTTCTTTCTTTTTTATTTATTTTTATTGTAAACTTTTAAAATTGACTTTCTTTTCTTGTTGTTGTAGTCTTTGTTTCAGTTTCACCATTCTGTTTATCGTGAGAAATACTTGTTATAATTGATTTAATAACTACTGAACTTGTATTTGTTTCGGTGGTAGTACTAAAAAAAAAAACAGTATTTGTAAAATAAAATAAATAGTAAAATATGTAGATAAATAATAACTTAATCATATTAATTTATAAAAAAACATATAAAACATAAAAATAATCTTGCAGCCAATTACAATCAGGTTCATATTTTATCTTACCAGAGCGGTGCTAAATCCTTTAAATTTGCTATATTAAAATCTGTGATGTCTTTCATATTAACTGAAGTTATTTGCTGATTTGTCTGTGTACTTAAGACCGAAAGCCGACCTTAAAATGAAAACATTTAAAAAAAAAAAACAATTATTGCGATTTTCACAATTAATATAAACAAACACAATATAATTAAAATGAAGCTATAAAAAAACATAGAAATTGTTTTAAGAAAAATATTCATATAAAGCTGCTTAATTTTAAATATTATAAAATCCCTTCACCAAATAAATTCTTTACAATCTATTAAAATTTATACGAAAAATTATAAATGTTGAAACAGGACATAATTGTACAATATCCAATTTTTTTCCAAATGGACGATTACACAAATTAAACATTTAAATTAATTAAATTTAAGTAAATGAATTTAAAGTAAAATTTAAAATTCCGATTTAGCACTAAAAATTCTTAAAAATTATAAACATAATTTTGCTATTTTAAAAATATGTCAATATTTTTTTTAATTTTTGCGGCATTCTTTATGCAGTATGATAATAATATGCAGCGTAATAATTAAAAATTATAGTTAAATTGTCTCTAATATTAATAAAATTTAAAAAAGCAAAAAGTTGAAATTATTTCTAGCATTTCGGAATTTTAATTTTCATTATTATTTCCCTTCTAACGCATGTATAATTCAAAATTCTTTTGGGAATATATCAAAGTACAAAAACAACGTAAACAGAAAGCACAAAAAAGAAAAAATTTAAGAAAGAATTTTCACCAATTTTCGATGGAAAAATCCTTTTGAATGTTCAGAAGTCGACTTTTGGGTTGTAACTTTAATTTGATAAAAATCGGAAAAATATATGTATATATTAATAAAAACCTAAAATTTATTATTTTTTAAATTGAAAAAGAGATATGTACATTAATGTACATATTAATTATAAGTTTAGAAATTCAATAAGCCACACTAAAAATTGTAATTTATTTTACTTACCAACAGTTTCTTCTGTCGTCGTTGAACATAATGTTGTTACAGTTGAATTCAAATGATCTCGCACTGAATCTACTGTTATATCGCCAATTGAACTCGAAATTGTTTCGTTCGCTCGATTTGGTGAAGTATCACCATTATAACCATTCGTTAATCCTATACCAGCAGTTGTTGTCGTTGTGGTTACTGTTGACGTTACGGTTTCTTGAGCAGGAATTTTTTCTGAACTTATTTTATGGGGTTCACTTTCAATTACTTTTAATTTTTCTTTAACAATTGTTATAGGAGTTGCAGCAGACCCATTAATACTTTCATTTGATGCAACTTCCATTGTATCTTGTTCATTTACACTAACTGTTTCATCTTCTTTTTCCTCAATTGCTTCTAAATCAATAGCTCCATCTGGAGCAACAATTTTAGCAGTAGACAAACTAATGCGTTGTGCTTCGGAAGATGATAACATATATAAAGCTTCGCCTTGATTTGTGAAGCATAATGATGATATACCATTAATATCTTCACGTCGAATAGCTGCAGCATTTAATTGACGTTTTAATTCTGGTATTGTTAAAATCAATATGTCACCTAAATTTGTCAAACACATCAAATCGATTTCTCGATGAATTTGACTTTCACTTGAGTTATCGTCAGCACTGTTTAATTCAGCAGGCTCATTTTTTCTAGGACTTGTACCATGTTGTATTAATTCAGATGGTATTTTGCATGAAAATGTTGCGAATTGTAAACGACGAACACGCGCACCTTCATGTGCAGTTAACTTATATTTTGTAACAGGTTTTAATTGGGGTAATGAAAAAACTTTAAACTGCTCTTCAGATGCAATTAAAACTCGATGCGGGGCAGCTCCTGAACCAGTCATTTCCAAAGGAATACCATTATTATCAAAAATACTTATGCCAACAACTGGAGCTCGATGCTTTAGTTGTATTTCTTTCGCAAGTTGTGCTGTAACCATGCGTTTTTGTTGCTCATTTTCATTTTCAGTTGATTGCGGAATGTGTAAAAGGAAAACAGAAACACAGCTGGCATTTGTTGCTGACCATAAAGTAGGGACGGTATTGTGCACTAAAATTCAAAAAGTAGTAACGTGAACAGTAAAAAAAAGAAAAAACTTACTATTTGTAATAAACGTTTTGGCAAAAACCAAACATCTAACCATAGATCCCATTCCATCGTCAGCTGGTCGAGCTTCAACTTGCCTTTCTATTGGACGTGTGTCGATCTAAATAATAAAAAAGAAAACCAAAACAATATTTAAAAATAAAAGTTTATGAAACTACTATTACTGCAGCTTGTGTAGCATTTGTTGGATTATTTCTTGTAGATCTACCCTTTCGTAATCTCCTAAAAGATTCTCTCAAAGTCTTTTTGAATGATTTTCTTCTTGATAATTGTTCTCCAGTTCCAGTTAAATCATTTGGATTTAAAGTGCATTTATGAAATACTGGATGATGATTAATATAATCAAATAAAATGAGACCATGTGCAGTTCCAGCTGTTAATAAGTTCCAATTACTCTCCATTGATATGCAAGTTATAGCAGCTGGTGGCAGAACTTGTAAAACACCATCAACGTGAATTGAATTGTCACCAATAGGTTCAGCATTTTCATCATATAAATGCGATCGGACTTTTAACTGTTCATGCCCTTTCCATATAAATCCATCGCGATCACTAACTAGATTCATTGTTGTAACTTTAAGAGCTTTCTGTTTTTCACGATCAGCAAATTGGGCAAAAACTATTTGTCCGGCTGTACCAGCTACAGCAAAGTGTCCACTATTTGGACATAATGTAACTTTTTTAACAGCTAAACGTGGATCATCTGAAAATGGATCAAATATACCAGCTTTTCGAAATGGAGGCTCTGAATCATCTGCAGGTTCATTATCCTGTGGTGGATCGCCATCTAAATCATCACCATGACTGAAAAATTAAACAATAAATAAACAAAAAAAAAAAAATAATTGAATACAATCATATTTTATGTATGTACTATAAAAAACAATATAATTTTCAAAATGCATCAAACATCAAATAAAATTGACTGAAACAAGAAGCAAGAAATTATTATTTTGCATTAAGTTATGCCACAACAAAACAACAACACTAGCAATAACAAAACAATTTCAGTGGGTAAGTGCTGAATTTGAAAAAAAAAAATTATCACAACAATTAAATGAATTTTTTTAAATATTAATTTATTTATAATTTATTAAACTACTATATATTAATTAATATAAGTTGTTTAAACATGAGGTCTGCTCACATACTATAATCTAATTTGTATTATCCAGATCCAATAAAAATTATTTTGTTTAAAATGAATTTTAATTTGTTTGATTAGCATGTTATTAGTTTTTTTATGTTTTAATTATATTAATAAAGTAATAGAATTTCAGTAAAATTTATTATACTTAACATTTTTTTCGTTCCTATAAAAAATTTATGTCACCATTTTAAGAAAGCGCTTTTCAAACAAATTTCAGAAATGACAATAAAATTTGGAATAAATCCCACGTTTAGTGAAAACTCTTAAATATTCGAAAATCGTATTGATGGCAAAAAAATAAAAGAAAGGTTAATGAATTCCAAAATACAAGCTTATATTATATTTATTATCCTTCAATTATTTGCTATTATTAAAAATACCTTTCAAACGAATTCTCTTTCGTTTTTTATACACTATCTATACAATATCAAATCAAATCAATTTTATATTGTTTTAATTATAATTTCAATAGAATTTCACACACACATGCTTAATTTAACAAAAAGTGAAGATGCACTTACTTTCATATATAAAAAAAAAACTGTTTTGTATTCATATAAAATTTAAGCATATTTCTTAATAAAACATAATTATATCACATCGAGTGATTAGAAGAGATCACTATATTTCATATTAATATATATAATTATATATATAGAAATTAATAAATATATTAATTTCTTATAAAAGTAATAATAAGCATCATAAGTTTTATATAAACCGATTAAATGAGATTACAATGCCAGTAAATGGTATATTAATAATAAAAATTACAAACTTTGAATTTTTAATAATACTAGTGCATTCAAATTTAAATTTTTTCGTACATTAAATGAACTGGTTCAATTAATTATTAAAAATTTTGTATTATTTCCAAATTAATTTAATACAATTTTTTAGAAATTTCTACCTATATTAATTAAATTCTTCAATTTTAAAGACATTATTATTTGTGAAAAGTATATAGAAGTGCTAAGTAGCAAATGAAGAAATTTTATAAAGTAGGTAAAAGGGAAAAAATATAATACAGAATAGATATAAAAAAAATTAAATGATTAAAGATTGTATAATAAACTTATTTTTATAGTAACGTAGGATTTTCAGTCTCTTCTTAATCTTTTAATCCATTTTTGATGTAAAAATAATCATTTTTACTTAACACTAAGTGGGTCATCTTATATTGATTTTTAAAAATAATAAACTTAACAATTGATGAGAATAATATTAAAAACGTTTACAATATAATTTCATAATGGAAACTACCGTGCAAAATAAATTAGAAATAGAATAGGTAAAAAAAATCAATTTCCACTGGAAAACTAAACTTAACAAATGAAAAACAAATTTTTTTTATTTACAAAAATATAAATTGTAAGTAATAAATGCATATTTTATTTAAATTTTGCAATAACTCATATCAAAATGAATTGATTGCATGCATAAAAATTATTTATTTATTCTTTGTAATATTCATTCTTTGTTTTTATTTTATGAATATGTATACAAATTTCTAGAAAAAAAAAAAATTAACGAAAAATAACAAAGTACATTTCTAAGTTTTTTTTTATTGCTCTTTCTTTTTATTCTTTTTAATTCTAAATTAAATTTTAAATAAAAAATTAAACTCTGAAATTTTTGTGTTTTTTTTTTTTGTTTAAAAATTCCCACCTTTTATTTAAGGATAATCTTGTGTTAAAATCAGACTGCCAGGATATACGATAAACATAATCATTCACATCAAATAACCTAGAAACAAATAATAAATTTGATTTTTTTGTACTTTTAAATTTTTGAAAACATAATTGTGTTTTTTTTTTAAATATCAGGCGCCTATATATTTATGTATATTTAAATACCTTTTTATTTTATATTATTTTTATTATTTATATTTTTTATTATATAATATGTATATATACCCCTTATATAGTAATAAGAGATTCTTTTTTTTTAATTTTTTTGTACAAACTTTAAAATTAGAAAATTAAATAATTTAATTTTATGTATTGTTAGTAAAAATGATGTTTGATGTGATGTGTGTAATGCGTGTTAGTTAACGTAATGATTAAAGTCGTATTTTTTAGTTTAATTATTACATACATACATTAATATTCAATTATATGTTAATATTATGACAAAAATTCAAATATAAAACTCCCCACATAATACAATAATGTGTAAATTTCATCATAGTTATATCTATTAATATTAAATATTAAATTTAAAGTAAATAGATATTATTTTAAATTTCACATTAATTAATTTATTTCTAATTAAAGTAAAAGTCAAAATTATTATATTCTTCATCTCAAAATTATTATATATATGTATCTTTATCCTAAATTCCAAAATTCTATTTATTCCACTCTAAAAATATAATTTCTAAAAATATATTTGAAATAATATCAAAATTAATACTTAATCTAAATTGGTTTTCAAATAATATTAATCAGTTAACTACAAATTTAAATTAAATATAAAACTCAAAGATACTAAAATTTTTAGAAATACTTAAAATAATTAAATACAAAATAAAAAAAAAACTTTCTTAATATTTTTTTTATATTTCCAAATATTTATGTATTCAATTTTTGCTTTAGTTTTTCCATGGAAATTTTAAAAATGTCTTAATAGAATATTAGAAGAATCATAAACAAGAATTAAGAATATTGAAAATTCAATTATTTTGAACAGAATAAAAATAGAACACAAAACTAAATTAAGAAATACAATATATTTAAAAAAATGAAAAGTGAAAAGATTTAATTTGAATTCAATCATTCGAATTAATCTCGTGTTGACACCTGCAAATTATTTTAAACTTTCCCTTATATTGTAATTTAATGTTTTATTTTAAAAAAATATTAGTTTATAACATACAAAAATAATGAATTTGTTTTATCACTTTTGAATTATCACTGCTAAAATTAGAAAAAAAAAAACAAGTATACTTTAATCAAACTCTTACCTTAACGCTTTCCGATTTTAAATTAAAAAAAAAATGATATAATAATAAGAATACACAAAACAAAAAAGTAAAGCCAAAGCAAAAAAATACAAGCAGATATAAAATAAAAACAATAATTTAAATTAAATAATGTCATTAAAATAAAGGAAAGAGAAACTAACCCAAACAATGATTTTGTTTTAAATTCATAAATGGGTTTTAAAACAACACCAGTACAATCCCAAAATTTAACTGAACCATCTTCATGCCCAGTTAATAATATTTCATATTCTGTTGGTTCATCATGTTCATCTGTTAAATAACCACCATTTATAGGCCATTCCATATCACTGATATTTGTTTCCTGTTTTTTACCAGCTTTCACAATATTCTCGTAAACTTCTTTTGTTACTTGTGAAGCTAAATAATTACATGTAATTGCTGATGCATGCAATGAATGTAAATATGGTGTTTTTAATATTGTTAATTTTGGATTTGTTAAATCAAATGCACATAATTCCTCTTCAAGTAAAACAATTAATGATTCAACTTTATTTGTTTGATTTGAATCATCATCTTCTTGGAATGTAACAAAAAAATCAATAACTTTTGATGTAAAATCTAAACATATTTTTGTTCCATCTGTACAATGTACTGATACACAATTATGATCACCATATGCAGATCTCGGCATGCCACCCGAAAAAATTACCATATCTTTACCACTAAAATTAAACATAATAAAAAATTATACATAAAATATTAAATTTTAATTTGATTTTAAAATAAAACTTAAAAAAAATAATTTACTTTCGTTTTCCTTTTATCAAACGATTAATACTTTTACAAGGATCCGGTCCATATGGGACATAATTTTGATCTTTCGGTGGTACATCCATATCAACATTCCATGTTGCATATGAACCGTCCGCATGATACCATGTAAATTGATCACCATTTGTATTAACATGAATACCAACACTTTGACCATGTCCGGGTGCAATAAATGAACGTATTACAGAATTTAATTCTAAATCCCATAGTACACATAATCCCCGATTATATGTAATTAATAGCTTTGACCATGAATTAGGCAATTGTTTAACTGATTCAATTGCACCCGGATTCAATTTATATGTTGGTGGTACTTGTTCTAATACAATATCATGATATATAACAGGTTCTTTCACCGAAAATGATTTTAAATCAAATTGATAAACATTACCACCTTCAGTACCAATCCATACAATATCTTTTGCATATGAACAACATAATGATGAAACTTTCTTTAATTTTCCATCGAATGGTAATGTTTTTATTGGTATTAACATAATACCAGCTGGTTCCCATAATATTAATTGATTACCAGCTGTTAATGATAGAATTCTACCAGTACCTGGTACCCATTCCAATAATTGTACTGTGCAATCTGATGCATTTGAACCGGGCATTGGATTATGTTGTCCATAAAACTCAACACCAGGCCTTCCAAATACTTTTATTACACCAGAATGTGTACCAATTGCAAATAATTGCATTTTAGGATCATAAGCAATTGCAGATGGTTTATGTGGAAATCCATGTTGTACAGTCTAATGTAAAACAAAAAAAAAATATACAAGAACAATTAATAATATTTCACACATTTTAAAAATAAAATTTGATTTATTAAATAATAAGAAAAAAAAATATATACATATATAAGTATTTACTTAAAAAATTTTCGCAAAAAATTGTTGTGCTATTTCCGTTTAATTAATTTAATAAGGTTTCATCTTTTCCTCTTTTGTTATGTAAATTAAAACCAAAACATATGCAGTGTGAATCACATATTATAGAAATAAACTGCGACAAGATCTATTTATAGAATATTATAGTTTGCTGTATTTCAGTATGAATTTAGAAGAAGGCAAAAGAAAAAGAGAGAATAACTAACTTCAAATTCATCCCCTCTCAAACCTACACTACGACATCTATGGATCATTTCTATAACAATATATTATGTTAAATGAATAGAGCTAATGTAAAACGGAATTAAATCATATTATCTTTTTCATTATAAAAAAAATGAAACGGAAAATAATAAACAAATTAAAAATAAAAAAAAAAATTTGAAATTTTTTTCATTCATAAAATACTCTTAAACTCGATCTCTTTTTTTATAAACACAATATAGTACAAATAAGTACTCAAACTCAATTCAAATTATGTAATTTATGGAAGCGTAGAGTGTAATTTAAATATCAAACGAGATTATGATGTCATTGAACTTTTAAAATTTATCATTTAAAAAAAAACGCATACATTAAATAGAAACTGAAATAATTTTTAATCAGAAATTAACATTTTAATTCAAAATTAATTTTTTTATTATATCATATATAAAATTATTTATGCAAATTTAATTAAATTATTTAAATTGCATTTAAAATTTTGAAATTAGAATTAAATTAAAAGTAAGACTATATGAAAATATATACAAGATAAGATTTAATATTCCAATACAACCACAAGCTAGACCAGAATATTTTTCAATTTAATATTACTTTAGTTTAATAATACGCCACCACAAAAAAAAATGTTTCAATTTTCACCACTATTTTCCTTTATATGATACCGCCATTTAACCCTTTCCTCGTTGATTAAAGTTAGTTGATTAAAGCAAAACAGTTGAGCTTTAAAAAAGAATAGAACGCAATGTTATGTATAGTGCACAGCATGACTATTTTTCACTCAAAACTGTTTAATTTAAAATTTAAAAGAAATCTTTATGATGACATCATATACATTGAGTACCTATATTTAAAAATTTATTCTACACGCAAAGTTTTTTATGAGAAAGTTTAAAAAATTCATATATTTTTATTAAGTTATTTTAATTTTTTAACAAAATGACTCATAAAACTAATTGAAAATGAATACTTTTTTTTAAAAACTTCGATTTCACATAAAAACAAAATACACAACAATTTAACATCATTACAAAATCTATACAATAAAATGGTCAATTTTTAAAATTTAAAATGATCATTGTACTCCAATATATGTTGATTGTCATACATAATGTACAATAAATGTGAGCTGTAATACCAAAATCCTTTTTGAATACCTTTTAGAAATTATTCAGAGATTTTAGAAATCTTCAGGTCTAACATAATCAACGTTGATCATTTATATTTTAAGTAAATCAAATGTTAAAATTTTTCTGTATTTTTCTTCTTTTTTTTTTAATTTCCAGTTCAAATCATTAATTTCCGCATGGTAAATTTAACAACTAATCTCTGAAACCAATGCTAATTTCCATTACTTTCAAATAAAATAGATATAGAACAAAAAATATCAGTATTAAAAAAAATTAGTAGACAAGTATAATGTCAAAAGTAATTAAGTTTTTTTTTTTTGGAATCTAAATCCATCTTCATTTCTTGTTAGTAAATAAAAAAAAAAAAGAATAATATACAGAAATGTGTTACAAATTGTAGTCTTCAAACAAAAAAAAAAAATAATAATACTAAAAGAACAAAAGCAAAAAAATTCTTCACAAAACACAATTTTAGTTTCTGAAGAAATAAATTTACCATATTAAATTTTTTTGATTTGATTTTGATTGATTTTCTAACATATTCGCTTAACATATCTCAAAATTTCGTTTATACTATACTTCAACTAAAATAATGAAACGTATTAAAGGGTTAAATCATTGAACCAAATGAAAGTGAGTGAAATGAAAAAAAAAAATCATTGTATCCATTATTAATTTATTCTTAAATAAACAGTTTATTTGATTAGAGTATAGCGTATTAAGCCACCTATATGTAAGTAGAGCAAAATATATCGTACATAAATATAATTTACCCCTAAAATGTATTATATAAATTAAACTATATCTTTATTAATGAGAAATAGATAAATTCTAAGTTGACTGCAGACATTTTTGCTTATCTTATCTTAATTAAATTAAAATTTAAATAATTATTTTATATTTTAATCAATCATTTTATATGCAGATGCAGAATTTTTAATATCGTAAATTGAAACTGGATATTTCGTAATATCTTAAAACTTAACTACTATTATTTTAATAGCTCATAAAAAAATGTTTATGAAATGGAAAACAAAAAATTAAAATTTTCAATTATTTTATTTAAATTGCATTAAAAATACCCTACGATAGTACTTACAAATATTGAATTTACTTTAAATTTAGCTAAATATGAATGCGAATATATTATACATGAGTACATATTGTATATAATTCAACTATATATGTACATATATAAATTTTATTCAAAATTTAGCTTAAATTGAAAAAAAAAAGAAATAAATTTAATTTGTACAATTTTAAAGATTCAAATTCTTCAAAATTATTTTCTATTCATTTATTAAATAGATCGGAATGTTACAAAATGATTAATGATGTAAGCATCACAATATGAAAAGCTTTTAGGCATTTCAACTTTCATTCTAAAGAAATCAAAAAAAAAATTTTGGTCTTTTTCCAACAAGAAACTTTATAGGTGGTTTAAAGTTTTCATAAAATTGGAACAGAAAAAAAGAATTGAAATACAAAACTTAATAAAAAAAAAGAAAAGAAATAAAAAACAATTCAAAAAATTAAACCCATTAATTTTAAAGCGTCCATTGTTTGCCACCAATATAAAAAAAAATGTGATTCATGTTTTTGATGATGGCATACCCAAAAAAATTATTACTTTTGACTTACCCAAAAGATTTTCTTTAAAATTTTCTAATTTTATTGTTCACTATCATATGCTATGTATAGTAAAATTTTACAGAGAAATTGGGAGGTAAAGTGAGGGACGGCCCTAATAATAATAATAATAATAATAATAATAGTTCTTTATTTTATCCGTTATCTTTAATTATATAGGAAAAAAAAAGTTTAGAATTTTTGTTTTTGTTATTAAATAGTTTAATCTATTTATGGTGTTCTGAAAAATACTATTATTAAAAAATTACAAAAAATCTTAAATTATAAACATGCCTGGTATACATTCATGTATGTTTGTGTAACGGAAAAAGAAAAATATTTTTTGTGATAATAAACAAAATGATATGACAGATATGTGATTATTGTCGGCTTTTTCACAAACCAAAGAAAGAAAAAAACTCCACCACTCCTACACAACGCACATAGTGAGAATTTTCTGTCATTATCATTAAGTAGGGAAGGGAAAATTAAAAATTATCAATTTATTTCTACAGAATATTCGAATTTTCAAATTAATTTATTTGTGGATTCTAATTCAAAAATTTCAATAAAATATATATGTATATTAATATTATAAATTAAACTGATTTTAACAATGCTGATTTGTTTGAAGTACCATAACAGAGCGTTTAAGATTTGTTACAATGCGAGAAAAACATGACTTAATACACAATTTACACAATCTATTATGTAAGCGAACATTATGTAATATGCACAAGAATTTATATACAAAATTTGTTACTTTAAAATTATGTAACTATTGGGTTCAAGAACATTTTCTTAATTTTTTTAAGAAACTGTTATATACCATAAAACATTGAATAGAAATCTAAATTTGCATTATTTTTATTCATTATTTAATTTAATTTAATAATCTTTTAATTACGTTATAAGTTTTCAAATAAAGCATTAAGCTTAATTCTTATTCAACTAAATTCTCTATTGTTTCTATATAATATTCAAAATAACCACAAAAAAAAAAATTATCTCACGATTTTGCATAACGTCAAAAATTTTATTAATGTTTTTGCTTACTGCAGTTTATATAGTTGAGTTTTATAAATTAAAAAAAAAAATTATTTTTTGTTAGATTTTTTGTACAAAACAATGTCTTTTTACACATTATTTTTATTATATCTTCTTAATATTAAAAATGTTTTACTGTAAAATTAAGCTAATGTGCACCAACTAATCAACTTGAACCACACATTATCATCTGCAATTCAAAAATCACCTAAACTTTATGTAACAGCAAACAATTGCACGAATTTTAAAATTTTTGTCGAACTGCTAACTAAAAGAACAAAAATAGAAATTATTATTCTTTAATTTTTAGACTCTATGATATCTAAGATAAATATGATCTATTCCTTTGCGGCTTTTTTGTCGCTCTTTTTATTTTTAACTCGCTGCTAAACTAGAATTTCAACAGTCACCTGTCAACTGCCAGCTAGAAAATATCACCCGCCTACTGTCACCTGTCAAATGTCAATTGTCATCTGTCACCTGTCAACAGTAAAAAGTCAGCTGTCACCTGTCAAATGTCAACCGACAGGTGTCACCTGCCAAATGTCAGCTGACATCTGTCAAGTGTGAAATGTCATCTGTGAACCGTCAGCCGTCACCTGCGTACTTCAAACTGTGAACTGTCAAATATCAAATATCTTGTATAAGTATACATATGTACACAAAAAGTTAAAGTTTCGTTGCAAATCGTTTCCATAATATTGTCAAACATTTAACAATATTGCAGCCTAAATTTTACCGTATTAAAAGTGACATCAAATAAACAAACAGGAAGGATAACATCTCATTAAACAAAGAATAATAATACCAAAATTATGCACGAGTACATAAAAT